ATGTTGTTCTTTTCATGTAAATGTCTCATGCTGCCTCATGTTAGAACTTAGAAATCATTTTACTTGGTAAACGAAGACAATAAATGGTGCATGTCCAACTAATTTTACTTAAGAAATTTAACCTTCTAAAAATAAAACAAAATATAAGATTGAGAAAGATCGGGCATTGATCCGAGAAAACCACAAACATAATTGGCTATCTTAGCTCTTTAAATTGAAAATGTAAGATTGAGTCTAGGAATTTACTGAATAGAGAAAAGAGAGATGTTGAGGTAAGAGAGATAGATCAGGTAATGAGAAAACCACACCGCTGATTCACCGAATGACGAAATGCTTATAGCCCGTAGCTCGTCGGAACGTAGGAGTGGTGACCAAAAATGGAAGGTGGGGTCGTAGATATATAGATTAGGTAAAGGGCAAACCAAAAAACCGAGAAAACCACACCACCAAACAATTCTAGCCAGTCAGAACGTTGGAGTAGTAGTTTGAGGGGCAGAGTCTGGGAACATTATTGTAGAGACAACGAAACGTGCAAATGGGTAGGGAGACTCTAGACTCGGGAGAGAGTTTGGGGGATGAGAGCGGCTGCGGGACAGTTGGAGTGAGGAATTAGGTTTTAGTGAATTCGTTTAGGGGGTGGGGGGAGGCTCGGGAGAGCATACGACCTGATATTTATTTCGATCTGATCGAAATTTAATTGATTTGATCCATTGAAAGATCGAAATCAGATCGAAAAAATCGATCCAAAGTGTTGGCTCACGACTCGACTCGTTTACTTCGATCTGATCTCGATCCAAGACAAAATTCAAATAAATTTTCGAGTGATTATCAATCTTTGGGCTAAAGTCACAACCATATGTTCAAATCCTCTTTTTCTCACACAAACTGATCCCATCTCCCTCTTTCTCTTTGCTGTTCACTCTCATTTTCTTTCTCTAAAGAGTGTGAAAAAATGAAAGAAGAAAGGAAAAAAAAACGAAGATTAGCATAAGAAAAAGAAAATAAAAATATAAAAACAAATTGTGTTACCTCCTTTACCCTAACATTTAATTACCCGCGCACATTTTTCTTACTCCTGATTTAGTGGGGAAATTTTATTTTGCATGTGTATTTTTGGTTCTGATGAACACACACATCTTTTTGGTATACTGGGGGCATATTCATATAACTTTTTCATGGTGCGGTGGGAGTAAAATTCCATGTTATCAAATTAAGTATCCTTATGTGTCTTTTTCAATACAACCAAGAAAAATTTTTGAACTTTAATGCAAGTACACGAAGACTCACCTGTGGATAGACGTGATGAGAGTATAATATCCTGTGTGGCGTTGCACACATTTCTTGGTCATGTTGGGTAGGCATAAATTTCTTATAGATGCCTTTTGTATGGGAGACTTCAAGTTGCTGCTAAATCTGTATTGTTAGAATTTTCTCTGCATGCACTCTAGTAAAGTTTAGGTAAATATTATGCCACTTGCATTCAATTATTGAAGACAATTTTGTCTGCATCTGCTCTAACAAACATTCTAAACATTTGAACTACGTTTGATAATGCCTTGCAAACTGACACAAAGTGACTTAAATTGTTCTTCCCAAAAAACATGCACTTATTTAAAACTTAAACGTGACACATAAGCGTGTTCTCTAGCAGGCAACTAACTCATCATCCACACCATGGATATTTGGAGTTGATAAGGCTTTTGCTAAAGGATGATGCTTAAAGGTATTTTAAGCCTAATACTTCTAATTCATTAGATTTGAGAATTAAATTTTTTAGCGAATCTCATATAAGTTATTTTATCAACTACTTACGTACGATATTTAAGGCCTTTGCAAATAAAATTCACTTCAAAATGAAGTTTCTTTGTACTCTTACACTTGTAGAATATGACTGTGAATTTAACCGATAGATCAGATCTTCTTTGTATAATGATAGAGTTAACAATGCCTAGAACTCAATAAATTCTCAAATAAATTCATACTTTATAAAAATTATGAATATGATCATCTGCGGACAAACAGATGGAGTTGATAAGGCACCAAAAAAAAGAAATTGTTAAAATATGTCAGTGGTTGGGCATGATCATTGTACCTCATAATTAGAGGGGGTTCACCTTTAAATTCAAAACTTTCATGTTATATTCTTCTGTTTCAAAAAAAAAAAAAAAAAGAAAAATGAAAAAAAAAGGAAGAAAAATGAAAAAAAAAGGAAAAAAAAAGGAAGCAAAAATCATAAATGTACTTGCATAAACAGGTAGCTTCGCGTTTTTGACAAATTCTTAAGTCCCATCTTTTAAAGTCCTATACTCCGTGTCCTTAGAACTAGAGTTGGCTTGATTTTTTCCTTTTGATGAACCATTGCAACACCAATGAAACCAGGGTTCTCTTGTCAAGTAAATTTGTATTTCAACTATAAACTATGAACTTTACAAAATTATTTTTGTTTTCCAGTTTCATAGAGCTTTCAAGGCCTTTAAATAAGAAAATTCATATAAAATAATTGTAGAAATTTGACCTCACATCTATAGCCAGTCATAAATTCTAATATATGAAATTTGTAAGTTGTATCACGTATTGAACTTCCAAGAAAATTTAAATCATACATAAATTATGGACCTAAATCTTTTTTTCTAATAAATAGAGAACACGTTTAAAATAATAAAGTAACAATATTTAAATATCGCTGTGATGGTTGCACTAATAGAAAAAAATTCAATTAGAGGAGGTACTATCATCAAAATGTCGAAGTCCTAATATAAATTATTTCAAATTTAAATCCTAATTAAATATGAAAATTCAAGTAAATTATTTAACTAAAAATTATTTACGTGGAATATATTTCTGAAATCTTGAGAAAATAATCTATCCATCTTCTACAATAGTTTATCGATGATGACAAATTTAATATTAATTTGAAATTTTAAATGGCCGAGATTATGTAAAGCACATGTCTATGATCACTTTTAATATCTCTCATTAATAAGGGCGTATCATGTATGTTTTGATAATGTGATTTTGCATCAAATGACACCACTAAAAGGAATATTTTGGGCCGACTTGTTCACTTGGTGGTTTTTTAAATTATGGTCATAGCTAGAGCTTGACGTCTTGCAAGTTCTGGAATGGCCTAAATCACCTGTGGTCATGAAATGCATTTGATAGAGCAGAAAGCCCTCTAGCAGTGATGGTTAATTTATAATTGCTCTCTTATACAAATACTTATCTCAACCTTATAAGGTTATTGTGGATAGCACAATTCATGATTGTTGACAATAATCTTTTGGCCAGGTTGAGTCGATTTCCTCATTTGAATAATGTATACCAAGATCCACGACCAATCAGGATGATAGAACTGTTATCATGTTTATCAAAATTTCCTCCACCTATTTGCTTGAAACTTACTGGGGTGAATTTGCTCTTTAAAAGTCAAATTGCTACTGCCATACAATAAATATTTTGTACCTAAAGACTAGCTTATATTGGAACTCTTTTGTCATTGGAGGGTTGGTAATTAGTCATAGAAGGCTGCGCTTGTTTGGAGCCTGGAACTAGATCTTTAAGTCCAAAAATATCAGGGAATTGTATTTTCTGAAATCTATGCTTTTTTAAAAATTTGATCCAGAATTATACAAAAATTCTCTAGTGAGACAGGTAGAAATCTTTGTAGCCCGCCTATGAGTATCTAGCTGCTGCTTCTTTTTGTTCTAACTGTATCATGATTAGTGTATTGGTTATATAAATCTTAAGCGTTAATGTCTAGAGCTATTTCTTTTTCAGATTCATTGGATGCAGTTGTTCTTACGTGTGCTAGCAAATAATTAAGCTGGTTCTAAATCAGTCTTTTAATTTTTTTGTAATTACACTTAAATACGATTTCTTAAAGATGTGAACCTTCTTAAGTTACTAAGCTTAGGCCTATCTTCTCCCTCATGCAAGACGAGTGCCACTCTATATATTTTTAATTTGTAGCCCAAAATTTCCTGATGGTGGGCATTTAGAAAGGTTTATGAAGAGGAAATGTTCTATTGGAAATTTACAGAAATTTATGCATTTGTTCTTATTTTGACGTATCTAATAGTTTTATTGTTATTCAGCTCAAATAGCCTTTTCTTTTATATCAGAACTTCCTTTAACGCTCTGACAAGGAAATGGGATCGGCTTATATTCTCCCTTATCCAAGACGAGTGCCACTCTAAATATATTTAATTTGTATTCCAAAATTACCTGATGATGGGCATTTAGGAAGGTTAATGAAGAGGAAATGTTCTATCGGAAATTTGCAGAAATTTATGCATTTGTTCTTATTTAACGCTCTGACAAGGAAGTGGGATCTGATGATTCTTTCTGCAATACCTTTTTTAGTACACGCATTGCCTACGTGCTTGGCAACTTCATTTCTTTTTCACTTGCTGCTATTGAGTTTTTAATTGTATTTACCAATTATGTTCTCATACATGTAGCCTATGGCAATCATCACTGTTATGAAGAACTCTTCGACAGCCCTAATAGAATAATTTATCTTGTGGTTCATGCAGTTTTGTTTGAATTGATCAATGATGTATAGTCAAATTTGGGAGTGATGGCTTCTTAGAACTTTTTTTGGTGGAACGTTAGAATCTTTGCTGAAATAAAAAGGACATTGAAATTCAGCTTTGAGCTTCTTAAGGACGAGCAAATTCTTGTTCTATTTGTTGTATTGGTCATTAATTTTTGTATGCTTTATGTCAATTGAATAGGGTGCATTCTGAACTTCATGTTGGTCTAATGCTTTATATCAATTGAATAAATTTCATTTTGAACCTCGTGATAATCTGCTGATGTTGAACACTATTTTTTCTCTTGGCGATTTGCTTAATTTTTAAATGCTTTATATCAGTTGAGTAGAATGCTCAAGATAGCTGCTGATCTTGGACTCATTTATTGTTTCCACATTCTTCCTGTTTCCATAAATAACAGTTTTTTTTATAAATACTGAAATTTATAACTTATGATTTTTGCAGGTAAAAGCTGCAATATCTGCAATTGGATATTCCTCAGATTTACCAAGGATTCCTGCGTGGATATGTTTGATCTCTTGGAGTTTGTTTTTGGATTTCAGGTTTTTTTTTTTGTTGGATGGAAACTTAAGAAGTTCAGTGTATTGATTTTTTTTTCCTCGCTAATGATATTCTAGTCTTCTAGATTAGATATGAATGTTATTTCCTACTTTTGTACAATATCTTTCTTACCACCTCATTCAGAATGTGTCAACCCACTCTATAGGGTTTATGGGGCAGTAGGATGGCACGTAAGATTTTTTCTAAGGAAATTTTATTTCTTCCAATTAGTTTAAGCACATCCTAAATAATATGAAGACAATTGAATGAAAATGATAATATAAGATGTGATACCAGAGTGTGATTAAGCATTAAGCTCATAAATAAATGTTATTCCGCACAAACTACAATATTATGTCTAAGTTAATATAATCATGAGATTGACAAGAAAAATCCATAATCATTCACAGTTAGAGGATGCATGATTTAATTGTTTGAAGGGCTTGTTAAGCAATTGACGCTGAAATCAGATGAACCAGCCAGCTGGAGTCGTGCCAAATATGCTTTTGACTCAACTCTTTGGTTTTAAGCTCCACTTTCAGCTCGAGATCTGATTGAGTTCTACTCGGATAGCTTGAATAAAGTTCTTGAGTTGATTATATTTTCTGATAAATTATGTGAAAGTTATATTATTTTAAAGAATTCAGCATAGAGTAATGCGATAGGAAGAAGACAAGTTTCCCTAGATATTAAGGCAAAATAAAATATTTTTCTCTGCAGGTGATATTGAGAGATTGAGAGATAGACAATTCTCTCCTAAGTCATAATTCCTATGATTAAAGACAACAATCACAACCTAACTAATCAAATTAAACCATAACATCAAATTATTTAATAGGCTTGGTGTGGGTTATGTGGAACAACTCGACTTAGTAGAGTATGAGGTTGAAGGTGCCGTAGTCGCCGGTCTAACATAAATCCCCTCTCAATAAGATACTTTATCCTCAAGGTGGAAGAGAGGAAACTGCTCGATCAAATTGTATGGCTTCTACGTGGTGTCAAAATTTAGCAATACTTTTTGTTTAATCATTATTTTTTTGCTTCTGTTCATTCCTGGTGTAATCCTTTTAACTGTAGTGGCTTCAAGAAAACTTTTATATCCTCAATTAAAATAGGAGGACGTGAAGAAAAGGACACATTTTCATCAATAACACATCTCAACTACGATACTTGAAACACAAGATGAAGTGTTGATGTAGCCTATGATTTTAAATGATACGCCACCACACCAATGAACTCAGTGATCTCATAAGGTCCAAAATAATGTGGGGAGAGTTTTTCATTCCTGTGTCTTGCAAATGTCTTCTACCGATAGGGTCGAAGTTTTAGATACAACTTATCTCCTATCGCAAATTGCACAGCCCTTTCTTGTTTGTTTGTTTGTTTTTTCATAAATTATTGAGCTTTCAGTAAATGTCCTCTCAATTCTGTCAACATCTTGGAGACACCGTTGCAGTAATGTGTCTATAAGCACCAAATGGGGTGAGTCGAATCAGTATGACATTGTCAAAAGAGTGGTCTAAAAACTTGTATGATAGGAAGTGTTGTACCAATGGGTGCATCGAATACAAAGCAACACAAATAGGTTTCCATGATTTGATTAATAACTTGAGGCTGTCTATTGGTCTGTGGGTGGCACACTGTATTTTTCTTCAATTCGATTTCTTGCATTTTTAACAGTTCCATCTTGAAATGGCCCTAGAAGACTTTTTTTGATTCGACACCATCAATTTTGGAATCTCATGCAATAGACAACTTTCTATATAAAAACAACCGCGATAGAAATAATAGTAAATGGTTGTCATATGGGGACGAAGTGAGAGTACTTGCTCAACCGACCCACCACTACCAAGACGATTGTAAATCCTTCTAGTTGAGGTAACCCTTCAATGAAATCTATCGTCACCTCATCCGATATCTTCTCGTATAGTGCCAGAGGTTATAGAAACCCTTTGGTGCTAATGCTATGTATTTGTACAGTTGGTGCACATCACACCTTGATATCATGCCCTCCACATTTTTTCTTATTCGCACCCAATACAATTCTGCTGCAATCGTTCGTATGTTTTGATTACTCTCTGTATGTGCCTCAATATGAGTGCCTTGAAACTACTATTTTAAATTCAGGTATGTTTTAAATTTTGATGTAATACATAGTGCCCCTCGTAAAATAAACATTGGTCATTCATTGAGTGACAAAAAATAAGGCTATGCTGATATGTGCATGTTGTAAATTGCCATTCCAACAAATAAGTTTGTCATTTTTAAATAACAAGCGCAATCGCAATATGCTTCCACTCATAAACTGACTTGAGTCTAGCTCTCACAGTTGTCACTTGACTGAAATAAATGATGCGTTCTTAACTCTGCTTGAGGACTGGGCCTAACCTATAGGCTAAAGCATCTCTCTTCAATGAATTTTGATTATGGTTAGATAACGCTAGTATTGGTACACTAATCATAACCTTATTTAACTTCTCAAAAGCCCAAGTCATCACTTTCACCACTAAATTTATCTTTCTCTAATTGTTCCGTCAATGCCACACAAGCGGGTTGTAACCCTTCAAGGTCATAGTAGCAATCCAACGTGGCCATCATCTTTGATTGATCTGCCAACACTCTTGCATCCGACACCATATATCCTAAGTTCTTCACGTTTGGTTGGGCATGCAAGCACTCTTTCAAGTTAGTGTAGAGCTAGTGCTCACCGAGTACCATTAATACCTTCAACTGATCAATGCGATCTTCCAATGAACGACTGTACATTATGATATCGTCAAAGAACACCTACACAAATTTAGGGAGGAAAGACTGAAACACCTTGTTAGTGATTATAATTTAGCAGGGGCGTTGGTGAGCCCGAACGACATATTCATAAATTTGTAGCGACCCTCATGAGTTAAAAAAACAGTCTTGTGCATATTCGATGGCCGCGTTTGAATATGATGGTATCCTGATTTCAAGTCAATCTTGAAAAATGCCGTATCTTTAAGCAACTTGTTTATTAGCTCATCAATCACCAGGATGGGAAATTTGTCATGCAAGGTTTTCTTATTCATTGCCCGGTAATTTACATAGAGATGCCAACTACAATCTTTCTTCACTAACAAAATTGTGCTAGAGAAGGGGCTCACACTATCCTTGCATCCAACATCTCAGTTTAATATCTTGATCTTGTTCTTTTGTTCTTTTGTCTCTGGAATCCCGATGTTTGAGTCTTTGGTATCGTTATGGTTTTATCATTTTAATATGGTGCTTCCGTAGTGCTGCTTTTATTAGCCCGCTCCTTTGCATTTTAATCTTTTATCAATTGTGCTATCTTTATAATTTTATTCAATTTTTGTGGTCTCAACAGATAAAATGCTGCTCGTACTCTACCCTTCATGAAGTATTATTCCAATAATGCTTCTGATGTCCCTCTCAAACGACCATATAACATATCAAATTTCTCCTTTATAATCCATAACAGGCCTTTCCTAGACCAATGTAAAAAACACTTCATTTAAATCCTCTTCACGTGTTGTTCTGAAATGCTCGACAGTCACTCGTTGAATAATTTCTATGTTCTGTTTGACTGACGTTGTTCCCTCCATTGATACCACACAAGTTCTCATTTCCAAACACAGAGTCGCCGTCATCAATTTTTCTTCCCGCGACAACCATATAACAACAAAATATTTGTCCATGGGATAAACCCAATCATAGGCATCCTATCTTTCAAAGATCGACATCTTCAACTTTATTATACTTGAATCTTCTCCCCAATTTTTTTGCTAAAGCTCGTTCCACCCATGATGCAGTGGTTGTGCTCCATTTTTTCGCTTTATTGATTTTCCTTTGTTCCTAAGTCGGACTTGCCTCATAATTAGCTTGCTTGTCCCCATAGGCTCTTGAGTCAGCTTCCTCTCAGAAGTTGTCACGATTGCCACTGTAAGAAGCACTTGTTTCAGTCGCATGAAGCCCTCCATTGGGTTCACACTCACTATGGTTCCATGTTCAAAGCCGAAATCCTTAGAGCTAATCATCTCCAACCTCGAATCACATCCCATCGTATAGCTTCACTTGATTTTATTTGCTCCAGCCTTCCTGATGACGTGCGATCCGTCTCGGTCCAATTACTTCAAATTGTTCTTCTCCAGGCTTGAATCGCACCCGTCTAGTTCCGCCTACTTCTACTCATTCTAGCCTTCTGATGCTTCATGATCCCTTTCAGTTGTTGCTGCTCGAATCAGCTCCATGCGCCAGATTGCCTAAGGCAGTGAGGTTGCCCCCTGCTAAACTCTGCCGTCGTGCGATCCCTTTCAAATGCTGATGCTCCAATTTGCTCCACTTGCCGTCACTCGATCCCTCGACCGGTAAGGGAGGGTTTGCTTGGAATTCCGCTATCTTCTTCATCATTTCTTTTAGGGTCGTGACACTGCCCCTTCATGGGCGAGAAACGCTCTTCGAAATCTATGCTCTTCCATTCTGGTGTGGTTTGGCTCACCTCTTCTTCTAATTTCTTTTCCACAATATTGACTTTCTTGGGCGCCGTCACTTCTAGGTATGACTCTGCTACCAATTTGATCGGAACGAGAGAAGTTTCACATAGATAAGGGCAAAATAGAATATTTTACTACACGAGCTCAAAGCACAATCCTAAATATATAAAAGATAGAGTTACAATTTTGGAGGTAGGCGATTCTCCCCTAACCCTAGTCATATTAAGTCTTATTTTTATTAAATAATGCTAATTAACAAATTGCTAAATTGTCCTTTTAGTATTATGCATAATATGTCTTGAAATTATTTGGCTTGCTTCTTGTGAGTTCAGTGGGACCACTCCACTTAGTGAAGCACGAGGCGGAAAGCGCTGAAGGTGGCAGGCCTAGTCGAATCTGTAAAAAAATATTCAATAAATTTAAATATACTTATGAGAAATTATGAAACTTTGAAGCACTAAATATTCTATGTTAATCATGTTGAAGAGAAATTAGCAAAAGTTCAATTCATATTTATTTTAAAATTTCTGAAGCGGTGAATTGAAGGTAAAAAAAATAATTTGTAAAGGAGTTAGAGGAAATATGAACTCGGCTAAAAATTTGAATTTTGAGAAACATAACATTATGACATTCTAAAGATGTTCCAGGAGCGGGTGCACACGGGGCAGTGATTAAGTTGCCTCTTGTGTGATATAGAAGTCCTTGAATTAGCAGAGGTAAAACCTTGCATATCAACCTCTCGCCAAACCTCGCATTAGCCGGAGCTCATTGTACCGGGTTGACTTTAAGCATGCTCCTACTGACTTTTAAATGAAATAAAATGTTTAGCCTTTTTAAATTTATCATTATAAATGTAGTTTTGAAGTCATGAAATTTGACATATATGACTTCAAGTGTACTACTTTCACAACATGGAACCTATTGCTGCAACGTTTCAAGGTTATATTTCAGAAAAAAAAAAAGGATTTTGGATTTTCACGGAAAACTCAATTTAAAAAAAAAAGGATTTTCACGGAAAACTCAATTTCAGATCAAGCATACGCATTTTATTGCTGATTTTAGTTTATTGAGACGTGCACTTTTTTAAAACTTGTATTCATGATAAATGCTACAATAAAGTTAAATCATGATTGAATGATAAATCCATTGAAAATATGATCGTTGAATGACATTGAGATATCCCGAACATCAATTTAACCTACACTTCTTGTCTTCTACCAAGATTCCTAGAAAAGTTGAAACAAATTAACCTAGTCCTTGGCCCTTGATGATTGATTGACTTCTGTTCCTGCATTTTTTTGAGTCTTGTTTATGAGCCATCTTTTGCTCATCTTAAAGGAGCATGATCTTAACTCTGGTTCACCCCATAGACAACATCTATGTGGTCAACCTATTGAACTGTCAACATTTTCTCACCCTTGGGTACGCCTTTAGATGGCCTCAAAGAAGATTTTTTATCATGCAATTACGACTATAGGCATTTGGGCTACTATGATATTATGGTGTGACCCAAGGATTAAGTATTGCAAACTGTTTTGAAATGATACCAGTTTTAATTTACAGCTGATATAAATATTCTTCAATTTTGTATTATGGTCCTTATGAATCCTTAGAATCAAATTGATCCAGACAAAAGGGCTGCATGCTAGCTCAACTCAGCAGTTAAAACAATAACACAATTAAAATAAGTAGCATCACACAATTAATGTGGTTTGTGGAGAGCTGGGTTGATAAGAAAGTAACCCAATCTAGGATATATGGATCAGCAATATATATTATATATATATATTTACATTGATTTTTTGGTTCAAACGTCTAATGAGTGCAATGTTTTATATTGGCAGAGGGACAACATTCGCAACGAACGTGAAAATGTAGTTCTTATCTTAGCTAATGCTCAGTCTCGTCTAGGATTGCCAGCTGATGTAGAACCTGTAAGTGATGCGTTATTATAAGATGAAGTTCAGTGCCAGTGCCGATGAGTTTTGACTGGCCTTTGTGCATTCTTTTTTGGTTGCAGATTTTTTGTTGTATTTTGCCCATAATACTAGATGAATTTCTTTTGCGTTGATATTTCAATTCTTTTTTTCTATTTTATGATGTAATATGTTCATTCATGAATCTGATTTCCAGCTATTTAGGCGGTTACCATTACTTATTTCTGTTTGTTATCAACGCATCTTTCCATTCAGCCATCTATGCTTGTTTTATTTAATCACTTGCCTATTCTCTGCTTCTATAGTGGAGCTACTCGTGTGAATTTTACATACATTCCTAATTGTATTTTAATATTTCAACCTTAGTCATCGACCAAACGTGAGATTTTTCCTAAGTTTGTATTTTTAAAAGTTTTTGTATTATATTGTTATATGTTTGCTCTGTAAAAGTGTTTGCATTATATTCCTCTATAAAATTGTTTGCATTATATTGCTCTATAAAAGTGTTTGGATTGTATTATTATCTATTAGTTTCTCCTTTTCTCAAACATGCTCCAAGTTAAAATCACGTTGATAAAATTTTTCTCTGAATAATTTGCTTGTATAACATATGCTTGTTACAGTAGTTGAATTTTCTATTGATGTAATATGATAGAATTTATTCTATACAGTATTGAAATAATCTTTTGGAGAAAAAACCAAAGTTTTAGGCAAATTTTACTTTTAAAGAAAGGACAGTAAACTAACCCCATGCATCAATTATATTAAAGTGGGGCATAAAACTCATTACTGAGAGTGACATAAATTGTTACTAATCCTTCGGTATAAGAGACAATTTATAGCACTCCTATTTTTTTTAAGGATTTGCAGCTGATTGGAGGAATATTAGCCTGGTCCAATGACCTTAAGGATAGAAGTGGAGATATAAATCACTTTGCAAGTCTTGGTTCTTAGGCAAATCGTACTTTATTGGTTTTCTAGGTCATTTAGGGTTAATGTTGCATTTAAGTTTTATGGTGTAGATTTGGATGAGAACTAGCATGGAACTTGTGCTTTTACTGCTAAAACTATTATTGCTAAATGGAAAGTAGGGAATATTTTAAGAAGCATGCAAAAATGTTAGAAATTAAACTACATATGATTGGAGATGTTGGGCATTCCAGGGGCACTTGCAACATACACATTTACATCATGGAATATACATTTTAATGCAGTTATACAGTGCAACATACACAGATGTGCTAGCAAGGAAAGCGAGTTATTAATGTTGAAATAATTTTTTTTTTGTACCAATGGGATTTGAAAGTGTTTAGAATTATATTTAAGTAAATATTTTAATATTCTCTTAGAAATTAAAGACATGTGAATTAATGATCACTACCTCGACATAATTGATTGAAATACATGTCTGAGGTTTGATAAAAAATTAATTATGTCCAACTAATTAATGATTGCGGGCTTGAAAATTTTTTTCTTGACTCTTCTAAGAATTGTGATTTTTGATAAAGAATTCAGAATGCTGATTAGATTTTAGATTTGACAGTACCTAGAGATTTTACGCTAATTTAATGAGTATACTTTATAATTTGATTTTATCTTTTCCACAAATGCAAGTTGCTATAGTTTGCTAATCACCTCTCTTGATGATGAGAGTAAACTTTTGTTTAAGGGTAATTGCTAGGCGCTCAGTGTTTAGTTTATAGCAACATCAACTTTGGTTATAGATAGGGGTGCCAATAAATACTTGACATCCGGACTAGAGCTAGACTAAAAAAATTTATGTTAAAGTTGACTGAATTGTTACTTGAGTTGGGTTTGAGTCAAGCAGGTAGACCTGATTATTGTTCGAGTTGGCACAATTTGTTTCTTGTTTTTGAGAACTCAAAATTAAATAGTAGTTTGTTCAATTTGAGTTGATTTTGGGTTATCTAGGTTAACTCTAATCCAACCCGAGTAATAGTAAGATTTACAATTTATGCCTAAACTCGACTCTTATATCAATGGGCTCAATCTAAACATGAATTTTTAAGTTAGTTTTGGGCGTGTTGTTGCACTTTATTGACAACTCTAATTGATTGCTTCTAAATGACTCGATAACTATTTCTTTTTTTTGTCAGGTTCTTTCAATCATGGTATCATTGGATGCTTTTGTAATTTTATTCAAATTTTTTGCTAGACAAATTAACTGATTCCTATAAGCTGTGATGTTTTTTTTCGCATGCATGTAACAAGCTTTTGAATTGAACCCTCACACCAGCCTCTTCTCACTAATTTTAAGTATAATTTTTTTTTTCTTTTATCATAAAAATGCGATCTTAGTACTGTTGGAAAGTTTGCAGTATCTTACACAAGTTAAATATTCATCATATTGGTTGATTCCTTATACAATGTTTCTTCTGCATAAAAAGAGTAAAAGTTTTGAAAAATCATATAGTCGACTGGTTCTCTCTTGTTAATACTTAATTGCCACATTTCTAATTAGAATTACATGAAATTTAAAGGGTACAATTTTGATTTGGTCTTCTATAATTTTCACGTTCACCAACTTGATTGATTTCAACCTAGTGAACCACTGTTTGTATTGAAAATTCAGACCAGGTTAAGAACTAAATTAATTAAATGCAATCTGTACGTTTTTGGAGCATACAAATCAATACATTATAAAATTTGTATTTATTATGTAAAAAAAAAAAAAAACATGTTGTTACATCATGCAAACCATTGCATGTCAATGACAAAATGCATTCTGAACTAACATTGAGATATTGCATCGCGCAACATGGTGCTATGAAAGAATTGGATTTTGAAAAGAACTTAAATCCCATCACATGGGCTTCTGTATTATTAATAATATTTTGAGATGTACATGTATATGTATTTTTTAATAGGAAGACATATATATATATATATGTATATATATATATATATAGAGAGTGAGAGAGAGAGAGAGAGAGGCGTTCCACAAGCTACTCATGGTTTGGTTCAATTAAAGCTTGGTCATAATTGTTAAACACTTTGATTGGGACTCGATTACTAAATGAATAAGCTTGATTAACTTGTTGTATGATTTATTTATGCTCATGAACATGCTCGATTACGACGCGATTATAGTTCTTGCATGAACAATTTTATTTAAATATATATATTTTTATGACTTAACAAATATTGTTTGATACAATTTTTTTATTTTTTTTCCAAGAAGCTGCTCGTATAAAGCTTGAGTGAGGCTCGATTCGATTAAGTTTCAAATATGACTTAATTATGAATTTTTTTTTTAAAATGAGCCGTTGTTTAATAAACTCAATAATCTCTATATGAAATCAACTCAAGTCTAGGTCGAACAAAGTATTTATAAATGAGGTCATACTCGAACTTAGTCTTAAAGGCTCAAATTGAGCTCGAACAGAGCTCGAACATGCTCTTAATAAATGCGCTCGAGTTTGAAGAGGCACCTACTTGGATCATCTCGGTTTGGGTGTAGTCCTAGCGAGATTGTACTTTAGGTTTGTAAAGTTCCCTTTGATGACCGAATAAATGATTCTTTGATTAAGTAGTTTAGGATTTATGGTAGTCTGAGATGGCAAAACAATGGGGTTTTTATCCTAGTTTTCTTATTTTTCCCACTATCTGGTTTGAGTGAATGTTATTGCATGTTTTTTTTTCTAAATTTAAATTATTGCTAATAATTGCTAAACATTTTATGGGCTACCAACTAGCATCAACCAAATTTTTTCTGTTATGATTGAGAGGAGTTATTAACCTTAGGGTTTTTATGTTTGGGAAACCTCAAATTGGATCTTAACATTCTCATAAAATTAGGGCCAATCATCTCGGTAGCATGATATTTGATATGCAATCCGCTTTCTAAAAGCTTTGCTCGTAGCCACTCAACTGATCCAACAAGAATTAAGTGGGAAATCTGGAGTTTACAATGGTGCATCCTTATGGAAAAAGACTATCATGACACTTGGATGCTTTTTTGAAATATATTTTGAAGCTTTGAATGTCAAGACATTTTTTTCCCTATTAAAATCAAGCTGTGTTATCATTTTTGGGTAATCCTGTGGTTTTGGTATTCTATGAAGAGATGGGTGTTTTTAGTGTAACCTTTTGAGTTTTCCTTGCGGGAAAGTACCAATTTGGTTGCTCTAGAACTTGCTGATTTAAGGAACTTTTTTTTAGTTTGTATTACTTGGTTATTGAGTTGTTGGTTACTTGGATTTGTAATGTTACATGATTAGGCTACAGCCTGGGGAATATTACTCATCTTTCTCTCTCCAAAAACCTGTGATGTTAATGACTTCATGTTAATTTTACTGAAGTGGGCTACTTATTTTGAGGAGGATTTTGATATCTTTCCTGTTAATATCTTTTTTTTTTTCAGAAATCGGACAGAAATCGGAGCTCATCTGTTAACTGTTAACCTTATTTACTCTTTAGAATTTCTTTTTATTAAGCATATTAATTTAGGTAGAGTTATTATTTTATCTTGTAGGCCTTAAACAGCTAGTGTTCTTTTTGAATTGTATGTCATAGTGGGTTTTTGATTAAAAAAATTTTGATTGGGCCATAAAACATCGATTACAACAACAACGACGACGACAACAACAACAACAACGTTTTAATTCCATTACGTGGGGTTGGCTACATGAATCCTTTTTCTCCATTGAGTCCTATTTAGTGTCATATTTTCATTTAGTTCTAATAAACTAAGATCATTTTTTATACAATAAGCCCTAGTCTTCCTAGGCCTACCTCTGCCTTTCTTAACATAAGTCTAATCTAAAACATCTACTCTTCTAATTGGATCATCAGATGGGCGACGTTTAATGTGACTGAACCATCTAAAACGACTCTTTCTATTTTTGTGCGTCACTGGAGCTTCACCAACCCTACCACAAATATATTCATTTCGCATTTTGTCTCTAAGTGTAAAGCCTCCTCAACCTAATCATTCTTATCTTGATAACACTTAACTTAGTATTATGCTTCTCTTT